TAGGGTTTAGGGTTTAGAGAAGTGACGCTGAGGCATGTTCAAGCTCTTCGGGGGTTCTGGCTCTGGGTGGGGTTGCGCACTTTCGGCCATTGAGGGCTTGGGATCTGAATCTCGAGTTTTCAGGCGGCTGTTTCGTCCCGCAGCGAGTTTACGAGCTTCAGGAATTCCCATGACCATGTCATCGCACAAGCGAGCTCAAGTTTGAACTCTCATAGTGTGGCACGTTCCATGCGCAGATCTCTGCGGAGTTGTCGGCGGGTCTGGCATTCAGGGTGCACGTCTATGTCTATGAGGCCAGGACCGATGGCACGGGAAAGATGGGGTTGCTGGATTGAAGGGGTCAGCTTCAGAGCAGTTGAGGGTTGTGGTTTCAGAGAGTTGAAACTACAAGGATGGGTGCTATGATGATGACTAATGTAGGGGCCTTAATAATTAGAATAGGGTTTTGGGGGTGGAGCGGACTGAACGTCTGGGAGAATAGGGTTTTGGGGGACATTATACTATAATTAAGATACGGCACCCCAAGATAGTATAGGTAATTGTTTAGGCCCCTACGTTATCACACTATCTGCTGCTTCTACTTCGACTGCTGCTGGTCTGCTGTATCACTACCATCGTTGCACAAGAGCAACAAAAACACTCATTCAACAACGAAGCAGCCTCAGACTAAAAAACATGCGATGCGAAAGGCTCCACAAAGACAGGCCAAGAACTGCGCGGTCGAGACCGAGACCGAGGCGTAAATTCTTCACGACGAAGGCGAAGGCAAAGCTGAAGACTAAACGGCAGACGACAAGGACGACGACAAGCACGACCACCATGACGAAGGCGAAGACGACAATTAATAGTAGATATCCTAAGGTTTACAACCCCTAAACCCTAAACCCTAAATCCAACCGGCGGAGCTCTGGCAAAGCCGCGACCCACTGCGCACCCAGCGCACTCATCTTTAGGTTCACAAAACCGAACGTCCGAACGTCCCACCCCTGACTTCGAAAGGGTTTAGGATTTAGGGTTTCGGGTCACGTACCTTATAATAATTAGAATAGGTTTTGGGGTATAGTCTACTACAGTTATAATAAGGAACCCCCAAAATAGTAGACGTATTACTTGGCGCCTCGATTAACCTAAACCCTTCTCACCCCTGCAAGAGCTCACGCCTCTAGGCTGTCCTCGAGGGCAGCCGAAGCAGAAACGACATTCCTGAAGAACCGCTTAGTCTTCGTGCCGATCGCTTGGAAGGCACGGGGTCGAGAGTCGAGGGTAGTGGCTGCAACTGCTCACATGACATTTATGCCCCGAAACTCTCAAGCTCAAATCTTCAAACTCTTCACCAGGCGAAGGCAAAACCTCGACGCCCCAAGCATGGACATGTTGCACGTAGGTAGGGTGTCTAGATTTTGGTCTTTGGTGTAATTAGAGCATCTCCGGAGCACAAAGGAACAGCGACGAGAACACGAAAGTCGACAGTCTTCATAGAAACATCTCGCTCTGAAATGGCAAACGGGATCGATATAAGTGACGCTCTCTAAATATGTCTTTCTGTTGGAAGTCTTATCCTTCCGATATAATTGTATGAAAATTTCCAGTGATTCCAAATGTAAGGTCAGATACGGCCCGGCTTATTTCAACTCGAGAGGCTGGTGTCGCGCTTGTAAGATGCAACGGCTAGGGTTAGGCCTGCACCGTTGCAAGACACGCGGGACCCGAAGGAATCGGGCTCTCCAAAGGAGAGAAAAGTACTTTGAAGGGTTTGGGAGGGCGGGGAAACTTTGTTTGTCGTGTGTCATGTTGCTCCGTACTGTCGCCTGAATGACACAGAACAGAGAGGACCAGACTCTCTCAACCTGCGAGCACGACAAACGGCAATGCAAAGCATTGACTCAAGAGAACATGCCATGTGTCAGAAATGTCCGGTTGAAAAATCAGCATGTTCAAGTCGCAAGGTTTCCAAGGTTGTTGAACATGGAAAAAGACATCAAGAGCATTATGCGATCCCTAGCCGTGCCCATGCGAGCATCGATGCGGCCTGACCCCTGTAGCTCAGGCCTATTCCCTCGAAGACAAAGCCAGCATAAAAATGCACGCTATCGTCTTCATAGAAACATCTCGCTCTGAAATGGCAAACGGGATCGATATAAGTGACGCTCTCTAAATATGTCTTTCTGTTGGAAGTCTTATCCTTCCGATATAATTGTATGAGTGATTCCAAATGTAAGGTCAGATACGGCCCGGCTTATTTCAACTCGAGAGGCTGGTGTCGCGCTTGTAAGATGCCCCCCCGATTGGCAGCGCGGCCTAGATCTCAGCCCACGGTTGATCTGAAAGCCTGAGCAACTTCTGGACCAGTTCTGACACATCTGGCAATTGGAATGGTTCAGCACCGTACTCGAAACATGCCTGCACAAGACCGCCCCTCGACGGCAGATCTGCAGGGTTCGAAAAGGATGCTACTCTCTCGTACCAGATCAGAGAGGGGCTTGCTAGCTCCGCGTGTTGGCTTAAACGGGCCATGTTCCTGAGCGAGACAGAATCGGCCGTCCCCTTCATGAGGGCATACCTGGCCGCCTCATTGTCTATCCAAGCTACTACAGGCACAGCATGAAAGCGCTCGCACATGGCCACCCTCAGAGCTAAGAAAGCCCACATCTCTATCTGACATATGATCTGCTCTCCCGCATCGCGGAGCCATGAATGAATGAGCTCCTGAGGGACCGGAATCTCACATGCAAAGGTTGCACCAGTAGCACAACAATGCACGACCGCCCCCGCACCAGCCCGACCAGATTCCCACGCCCCGTCCGTGAATACGAGGAGTGGGGGGCCCGAGATGCCTAGATCGAAAGATCTGGGCGGAGTCGCTCTCAGGAGAGAGACCGCTACCCTACACAGACCTTGGAAAACCTCCGAGGCAGGGTCAGAGGACGCCTTGTTCAGGGCTTTCGAGACGAACTTCAAACCCTTGTTGTAGAAGAATCCCGAGGCGAAATTCAAGTGGCCGTGCAGCTCCGGAAGCGACTGCGCCACCTCCGGATTAGTCGCTGCTTCCTGAATCATGGTGACGAGCTTTTCCATCCTCCCCGGCTTGTTCCTGATGGTGAACTTCCCCTGCCCGAGGTTGTGCAAGGATATCTGCACTCCTAGAGCCACGAACTCTTGCTGGAAGCCAGGGGCTTTCTCCCCTTCCTCCGCATGGGCCCAACCCAAAAGATTGAGCACCGACGACGCGGACTTCAGAAGGATTTGGGATCCGCTCCCCGTGGTCACCATGGGGTAGTCGTCAAAGAAGACCGTGTTCAGAGCCCTTAGGTACTTGGCCATGATGAAGTGTAGGCTTCTCGACACCCTCAGGAGTGAGAACACGGAAGCCCGGGCACCAAAAGGTAGGACATTGCAGCGGTAGTAAACCCAGGATGCGCCTTTCTGAAATCCCAGGACGCACACTCTACGACTAGCCGGGTCGATGGCCGTCCTCCCCAACCACTGCTGAGCCTGACCATTTCGTGAACTTCCGTGCCCTGGAAGGTACCATCAACGATCGCCTTGGCGAGCGAAGCTACGACACACATGACAGGGAGTCGAGGTCCATGAGAGTAGCCGCACAGGTCCTTTGATAGGCTTCGTTGAGGCCAGATTGCCTGGCATCATCTATCACTCTCAGCTTGAGCTTTGCGCCCTGATATAGCGCGAACCTCGGATTCAGGAGCCACGCGGACGATCCAAAGTGCTCAGAGATTTGGTCCTCTGAGAAGGGGCCCTCGATCTCCCCGCGTTTCACCTCGGCATCCGCTGCCTCAGTCAGGTCTGCCTGCTCCTTTTCGGAGGTTTCCTTCTTTCGTGAAATTATGGCAAGTGTCCGCAGTGGCGCTGACGCCAAGAGCGATGCATGCGAGTCAGTGGCTGGCACCAGCTTCTCCGGAAGAGCTGGGACCGCCCCATGCGAGCCCGTCAATGGAATCCCAGAGGCCACCAGATCCACGATGCCCATTTCGTCGTACTCTGCAGCCGACAACAGACTCTTCCACAACAGAAGCCGCTTGGGTTTGAGGATTGCGGACACTACTGGGTCCAATTTCTCCTTGAAGTCCTTCTCACGGTCTTCAAGTTCTTCCGCCATCTGTTTGATGGTTATCACGGCTTGAATGCGAGATTTGGCAACCTCCACGGGGTGCAGCGTGAGGTTGTGGAAGAGAGCCTCCTTGACGGTTTCACTCAGAGCCTGATCTGGATTCATGGGATGCTTGATTTGCTTCGCCTGCTGCAGGAACTCTTGAGGAGTCCATCTGACACCGACTTTGCAGCCTAAGTTCTCAGATTGCCTTGTACACCCCCCCCTTGGTCGGAGGCAAGAAGCTTGTATTGCTCTCCCTGGGGGGCAACCGGTACCTCGAGGACCTCACGAAATTGCGGAATGAGAGGAGGGGCAGCTCGCGACTTTCCGGAGAGCGAGCCGAAGTTACCGGGCGGGGGAAGCAGCAGACCGGAGCTCTCCCAATGCACCACAAAGAGGTCCGCGAAGGTCTGGCAAAAGAGCGAGGGGTACTGGGCATCCTCGGCGGTAGCAAAGGAGAGCTTCTGGTTGACCTCAGTGATGGACCAAGGCAAGTGGTCATGTTGTCCGTCACAAGAGCGGGCCATCGAAGAGAGATCAAAGGAAGACGCCAACCTCGTGCGCTTTTTACGCTTACCCCCAAACATGCAAGCATCCAGATCAAAGTAGCGTAAAGACTTCCAGGCCCTTCGCAAGTCTGGTCCGCATTTGGCGGTCATGCTCTTGACGAGGCACTCAAGGGCTGGCCAAAGCCAGCTACGCGAAGGGTTCTCGATGGTCACCGGTACTCCATGCTGGTAAGCCCACATAACGACCGTCAGCGCGAAGCGATACAGCTCATTAGCAGCGCGAACACGGTCTCGAGAGGGTCCTGTAAGACTAGGCTTCCCTAAGGGATGAGCAGCATCACGTAGCGGCTGAGGGGCAGCAAACCGGCTGCGTACCTTCTTAGGCAGAGCCTTATCCCGAGCCCTGCTACAGGTGCCACAAGGGACCCCCAGATGAACATGGCCCACGAGCACAGCATCGTTCAAGGCTCCCATCAAAAGCTCCTGATTGCGAGGAAGCGTGAGATCCACGGGCACAAAAGAATGCGACAATCTACGGTCGTTGCCTGGGCGGTCAATGGCCATAGTGGGGAATCCTCGGTCTCGAAAGGCCGCAGACAAGGAGCCCCATCCGGAGCAGATCTCAACCATGAGAGGAGGACGAAGGACCTTCAGCGGTGATCGGGTCAGAGGAAGAGGGGCTGGGTAAGGTCACTGACCCTGTCCGGGAGAGTGAAATGAAGTTGCCGGAGACGATCTTGAAATTCCACGGGTAACTCCAAGGCCTCGCGGATGGAGAACGCGACCAATACAAGGCGGTCGCCCGTCCAATCCAAAGTGCAATGCCTGGAAGACGCTGCCGGGAGTAGAACGGGTCCTCGCGCCACATCCAGAAGACGTCCTCGACAAGGTACTCCATCGCAATGAAGAAGATGATCTCCTCCATCATCTTCACACCAGATCGCACCATTCTCGAAGTGAGCCGCGGGGGCAACCAGGTTATAGGAGTCGGGGAAGTTATTGGCATCTCGATGACAAGGAGTTTTCAAATTGCGAAAGAGCGCCACACTCGTGAAGGAGAAAGACGGAGAAATGGCCTTGACATGCCTGGCGAGGAGTGACGAGGTAATCGGGAAGGAGGAAAGATTGCGGCGAAGTCCAACCTCGCCGCCGAAGGAGTAGGCACCCGTAGTGAAGGAGCCTGACTTCCCGATACCCACGCCCCTGGCCGGGGGTTCAAGCGGCAAAAGGGAGAAAAGACGGCGAAGACTGTCGTAGGACAGGTCGTCCTGCGCTATCAATGCACTTGCGAATTCTTCTGGGGATGTCACCACGGTCTGCTCGGTCACCAGATCTCCGGTCTGGTGACCTAGTCACTCCTTGTGACGACACTCTGGATAAGCGAATGGCCTATGGCATCCTTCTTTCCAGCAGACGTGGAAGCCATTGGAGCATCGGCCCCCTTTGGCCGTCTTCGCCTTGCATCGTCCCACATTGAACTTCTTGCAAATGGGCTTGCCGCCATTGAATACGATGGTACAGCCTTCTGGGACCACGATGGGAGAGTAGCCCGGATTGTCCGTCTTCTTGGTGTGGGCCTGCTGGGTCATCTTGGAGCCTTGACTCCGGTTCTGGCGGCGAGCATTGCGCGACCGACCTGGCTGATCAGAAGGAGGTTGCTTACCGCTGCCCGTCGCTCCTCCCGCCTTGAGCGGCATCAGATGGAAGAGGACGTCCGGATGGTCCGTGTAGTAGTTCATGTGAGACTCGCATAGTCTCAGGGCCGGCTGGTCGGGGTCCATCTCCGTGAGCTTCGCCCGGGTGTCCTCCGCGACGAGCAGCCACAGCTTGTCCGCAGCCACCAGTTGATGCAAGGAAGTAGCCAAGTACCCAGGAGGTGGTACATGATGAAGCCGATCGAACAGCGACTGGTGCCACTTCTCCATAACGTTGAAGCTGGAGAGATTGGCCACGTCATAGGCCAAAGCTCGCCTCTGGAGGGCCACCCTCAAGAGGTGAGCGCTGCTTGTATCACACTCTGTATCGTGCGATGCCTTACTTACCTTGATGGACCCCTTGGAATCGAATGACAAAGAAGTCTGAGGCTTCTCCGAGAGAGCCTCAGAGTGTCGCGAGGTGCACTTGTTGGGATGGATCCACTGGAGAGACCCTTCCTCCAACTGTGAGCTCTCCTTGTCTATTAAGGCGTGGCTGGGAGTATTGTGAGGGGTGAGCACTACCCCCACAAGACGATCTTTCTGCCTCGTGAGCCGGGCCATCTTCTCCTGGAGCGGAAGAACCTTTGGCTCGTGCTCGGCTGGGCTCTCGAGCTTGGTTTTCAAATCCTGAAGGGCAAGCGCCTGGGCCTCAAAGGCCAGGCGCCTAAGACCCGCCACTGCCGTTGGAGTCAAAGCATGAGTAAGCAGCCCGTTAACATGGTTCATCAGGGCAGCATCATCGATGCCTGCGTTCGCCTGATGCGGGGTGCAAAAGGCGAGGCCTGCGAATGTGGTGATCCCTCCATCGTACATCTCCTGAACGACATTCTCGGTCAGGCCGCACGACAAGCATCTGGATCTGAATGAAGCTTCACTATCGAGCGCCATGTTGGTATGCTATTGGAGAGCCTACCTTGCAAGCCAACACTTCAATCGGAGCGTTCGGCATGACCCTCGATCGCAAGCCTAGGATGCAGATTCGAAGTCGGCGCTTACGCGCTGCGCAGTCGTCCTGTCTTGATCATGCGTCCTGAGCCCTGCTGCACTGGACACAAAAGAAACTCTGGACTCGATCCAGATTGACAGGTTCTACCTGTTCAAAATTACACGAGACTATCCTGCCGCACCTCAAACGATGACCGCGGGAATCGGAAGCTATGTGCACTATGCTGCTGACCCGGTGCCGAAACCAGGCATAGGCCCCGGCCTCCACCGGGAGAGGTTCTCTCTGAACCTCGATGACTTCCTTAGGTTCTGCCTCCTCGTCATCATCGGACGAGGAGCTCTGATTCGCAGCTCGCATGTGTTGCTCTTCAGCCAACTCACCCTGATGCTCCCGATTGTCCTGACTCGATCCCGCCATGGCCCTCAGTCGGGCCGCCGGAGGATCGTCCGGTCGATATGAACCTACTGCGATCATCTCTATCATCTTGAGCACCTTTGCTTGGAGAGCGAGCATGGTGTTATGATCGTAGGTAGTAGCGGATTTCGTCGCCGCCTCAACATGGTGTCCTAACATAGTCCTCTCTTCCCTCGTGAAGAGACCGGAACCCCCTCGCCCAGGTGAGCAGAGTGTGCTTACAGGAGTGTGATCTAAGCTTCTGGGCCACTTCCGGCCCCACCACTGGCTCCGCAAACTCTCTCAACCAGGCGGTAGCTTCGGATGAACTCATGAGCCACGGATTCCAAGTAGAGCTGTGATGGTTCCAAGAGGGCAACCACTGATCTAAGCCTGCCGCGATCTGGTTGTCGACCACGGTGCTGATCCAGTCCCCGAAGCCCGGCCAGTATCCTAGGCCTAAAAAGGGTAGCAAGCGGGTCTTGGCCTCCTTGGTCTGAGCGGGTTTATGATCTGTAGTCCACATGGTCCACATCACCGTGCCCTCAAACTCATCTATCTCGAGACCCCCTGCACTCCTGAAGTCGCTCCATCTTCCAACCCCAAAAACACACTTCAAGAGTTGACCTGCGATCATCGACACATGAGGCTCTTCTGCTGGGTCTCCTGCATGTACAACCAGTTTCTTCACGACGTCCACCGGGATGGCTGGAGCCTGCGACCTTGCCTTCTTCTGAACAAACATGGAGTGCGCAGCTCCCTTTACCCTGGGGGAATCGAGCTCGGCAAGGGTGACTTTAAGGAATCCGAACATGCCGTGGGCAAATCGCATCGCCTCCAAAAGGACGGATGCCGTACTGGTGCACTTTTCCTTCTTAAGCTTCTGCAAATACAAATAGAGGTTAGCCTCGTCAGCCGCAAACGGTGAAGTGACCCCTCGACCCGCCAAAAATGCAGCATACCTCCACAGAGAGCCAGACCTCTTGACTAGGGTTCCCGTCGACTTTGGGGACAAAATGTCCTTGAGCGTTTCGATGGCCCTAGCTTCGTCACTGCAAAGCCCCGCTATATCCGTCATCTGTCGCCCTGCTCTAGTGGCCATTGGATCCAATAGAATCAGCACCTTGAAGCGACGCAATGCCCTAGCCCTATCATCCTCCGGTTGCCCAGCCCTCACCGATCTCAATCTCGCTTGGTTGAGTGACATTGGCTTCGGAGGCTCGATATCATGCCTGATGTTCCGGGGAGGTATGGGTGCAGGCAGCCGAGTCATCGACAAAGGGCGGTAGGGCCCCCACGGCCCACCAAATAGAGAAGCTAAGGGTCCCCTCTCCCGAGGCATGGTGACCTTGACGGGGATCGTAGACTCTACTGCTCCTCGTATGTCCAAAGGCAAGGTTTGTATCTGTCCTGATGCGGCTGTTCCACTCAGCCTTGGCAACTTGGCCGCCGGTTGTGAATCAGTAATTTCTCGAGCTGTGTCGCTACATTCCGAAGCTGCTTCAACCTCGATCCAGGAAGATCCTGAAGCTATCGCTGATTCATTGGAGCCGTCCACTGGATCATCGGATAACGCTGTAGCCCACCTCTTACGGAATCCACTGAGGTTGTGATACCACGGATCGAGGTCCATCCCAATTGCCCCCCCCCGTGCTTGGGGGCGAAAGCAAATTCAATCAGACCCCCCCCCCAGTTTGGGGGAAAAGCAAAAGAGGGACCTAAGCGCTACCAAGAAACGTGTAACATGTGGGCACAACGACACAGACCGTCACCAACCTGCTGCCCTGCCTGCCTCCTGCCTATAGTCTTGGCCACGAATATGTCGGTCGTCCTGGCAGGTGCATTACCGTGGGAAGGGAGCAACAAGCTTCGGGCGTCCTGCCAAGTGAGAACAGCTATCCGACCAGACGTGGATGAGACGACCTCCAGATTAGGTAATTATGCCGGCTCCCAACGAGTGACTGTCGAGGCCTCCCGTAAGGCAGCTGCAAGGACCTGATTTGCGCAGGGAGTATTCGGCGTCTCGCGAAGTCCCGGCTCGCCGAGACCGGGTCCGGTAGCGACTCTGCTCCCGAAAAGAGAGGCCGACCTGAGTGGCTTCCCAAGGGATGCTCAAGACTCTCCAGAACGAGCCCGTGGCTTCCGTTGGGACCTGGCACCAGAAGATCGAGCACCACGAGTTGCTCACCGGTGCGATTCCCCGACTGGCCTCCAGGTCGGAGCCTCCAGTCTGGCCCACGAGTTTCCCTGCCAAGCAATTAAGTGCCAGGCTCGTTAGGATGACCCCCCGAAAAGAAACGAGCCTGCTGGGAGAAAAAGAAAATGCCTGACCAGGAGAAAAAGGGGGGGCGCTGAAGGCTTCTGCGAAGCTCCGGAGCGCCTCCAGAAAGGCGTGCTTCACCCCGCCACCCCTACGCCAAAGGCTAAGAGCCGGCAGACCGTAAAAGAACGGACGGAAGCTGAGCCGCACTGAGCATGGTCACAGGAAAAAAGACGAACACTTGCGCATGAACCAGCAGAGCCAGGGTCAGTCTCACATGAAAGCTGCAGTCAGCGAGGGGCTACCGAAAATTTTGCATCAAGCAACAGACGCGGCATCAAAACTGCAGTCAGCGAATTGCCATCGACCATGTCACATCGAGCCACAAAACTGGCACCAAAACAGCCGGGAGCGAAGTACCTGGGAAAGATGTCGCTCCTGGAAGCAAAATCAGCGATCCTCCTTCGCGGAAGCACTCGGACCACTGCTGGACCGAAGACGGTCGATCTGATTCTGGAGGCTCTCAATGGCCTGAGCATGCGAGCCGATCACCTGGGAGTGGCCCTTATGATGAGCTTGAAGATCGGCCATTTCGGAAAGCAATGTAGCAAACGCGACCTCAATCGATGACTTGTCCTGGGAGCCGGAGGAAGAAGGCCTGGCATCCGTCGCCGCGTCAGGAGTCGGCGGTGCATTGTCATCAACAAGAGGACCCAGATGTTGCACCATGCGCGACTGAAGATCTCCAAGGAGGTCGGCCACGCGGGCAAGCTGATCCTGGAGCAAAGCCGTGGAAGCCTTGCCGCGGCGCATGCCTTCTGAAACATCTCGAAGTCGGACCGAGAAGAAGCGTAGCTCGGCCTCAACAGACCTCTGAGACTTCTCCAAAGCTCGCAGCCGCTCCTCGACTGTGGGCGACTCCTCAGGCAAGCCACCGAGCTGGCGGCCCAGGCTCTCGGCCAAAGCTGAAGCCGCGGTCGGCGCCTCCAAGGCAACAGTCTCGAAGGAGTCCGAGGGCACCGACATGCCGCCTCTGCTTATGAGAGACGAAGAGGATGCACTTCCGCTAAGCGTCACAGATAGCGCTAAGGAAACATTGGAAACTTTGTTTGTCGTGTGTCATGTTGCTCCGTACTGTCGCCTGAATGACACAGAACAGAGAGGACCAGACTCTCTCAACCTGCGAGCACGACAAACGGCAATGCAAAGCATTGACTCAAGAGAACATGCCATGTGTCAGAAATGTCCGGTTGAAAAATCAGCATGTTCAAGTCGCAAGGTTTCCAAGGTTGTTGAACATGGAAAAAGACATCAAGAGCATTATGCGATCCCTAGCCGTGCCCATGCGAGCATCGATGCGGCCTGACCCCTGTAGCTCAGGCCTATTCCCTCGAAGACAAAGCCAGCATAAAAA